GTAGTGATGCGCACGCCAGCGCGGATTTAATTTGCCGGAAATCGTATGCCGGAAACGAGAGCGAAATGTCCGATGGCGGAACGTGATAGGAATGACGGTGTCACACCAGTTTGACCCTCCTTTGCGTCCGTATACGCATACAACACGTCTGTGCCGCACCGGAAAAAACAAGATTAACTATAGATCGCACAAGGGAACACGTTCGTTCTAATGGACTCACTTAATTTAACCTTAATTTAAACTTAATTTTCACTTAATGTAAATTAATTTCTATCAATACGTGTAAGAATTATTTAAGTATTAGGTCGTATCGCATGAAACTGCCGTTTTTTTTTTTTTGATCGGAGGAAAAATAATATATTTTCGAAGTAATAATCTTTATTCGATCGAGATATGAGCTATTGTTTTAGTGCGAAGAAATTCTTCAAGTGCGATCACAGTTTCTCGAATATTTTATTTTTTAAAAACAATCGTAAACAAGTGATTATCGGTTGGTGAAATATCTGATGAGTATGGTAATTTGTGATGTACGCGTCGAGAAGAGTAGATATCTATCGGCTAATGTCGGTTGTTTCTTAATCAATTTCTTAGCAATAGGATGCTGCTGTTATCTTTTTGAATCAGAAAAGAATTATTCTCTTTACAAATCACTATGTAATTATTTTTTTAGAGATTTGTTTAGAATTTTCATTAGCATCATTGTCCAGATCGTATTGTACGATTATCGTATAATATACATTTTTTCACAGGTTATAATTCTATTCAAAAACGGACTTCTACCGCGATAAGCACATTTTCAAACGTCGCAATTTTTGATCCATTGTCATTTTTTATTTTATTTCACTCAAATGTCTGAAAATGTCTGTGATTAAAGATATGTTTAACTCTGATGTTAGTTTGTGAATTTTTTCTTTCACTTTCATTTTCAATTTATCTTTGTTTAATATGGATTTCGGTCTATTTCGTTCTATAGCAATTTTTGAAAACTGAATGGTTCTCTAATCAATAGAATTTTCTCGGAGAGCTAACCTAATATTTCGATACTTCAGCTGCATTGTGGTCCAGCTTAAACTCATGCAGAAATAATATAAATTTCTAAATTCGTTCGATAATACTATATTGTTCTCAAAAAACAATTAAACTAATACAAAAAAAATATAAAAGTGAAAATATGCTAAGCAAAATATAAGTTAAGTAAAATTTATAAATCGCAGTTCATTATAATTTTTAAAATTGGTAATTTTATGTTATATAATATACTTTTATATTCTTCTCTTATTTTTCCTCAAAAATATCGAATACATACGATAAATCGAGAATTAGCCAAATTTAATTTTCTCGAAAGCAGAAATTAAAATGAACATCGTTTTTAACCAATTTTATATCTTTTATATCTGAAAAATCTTCCGCGTGTATTTTAATGAACAATTTACACGAGAATGACAATTCCATCCGTGGGTGGTACGAATTAAAAAAAAAAATGTCCGAAACGTTTTACCAACGAATAATATACCGTATTGCACGTGTAGGACATTTCGTTGAAATAAATTAACTGTCAGTTTGAAGACGAACGAACGACTGTTCATCTTTGTCGGATAGAATAGCGATGATTGGGGAGATAACGTTGGAAACTCCACGCTCTTTTTCGACGCGCAAAAATAAATTGCGGTCAATTAGGGAACGCCCCCAGTTTTCAAAGCTCGAGAAAAATTTCGCGAAAAAATGAATTCTGACACTCGGCATCGGAGACTCGAAACCAATCCGATGAAACCAAAGGAAATTTTCACGCGAGGCAAGTTTCGTTCGAAAGCGAACTAGCCTTTCGTAGCTGGTAATAAAACGTTCGCACGCGCGTTATATCAGATAAATGAGAATAGGTATATACTGTTCACTGGTGAAAAAAAGTCTCGCGGGACGGCACAGGGGCAAGAGGGGTCCTTCGCTAGGACGCTTCTATCCCCACTCTAAATGCTTTGTTGACGATTCTAACACCATACGCTACATAATAGTGGAAGAGCTACAATTTGAACTTTCAGAATTGTAAAAATTATTTTCATTTATGAAGTTATATTAGAATAATCATCTAAAACTATTAATTATTTCGATGTAATATTAATATAATATATATAGCTTATTCGTATATATACGATTATTTTAACTATTCGAATACGAAATTACATTTATAAATTAAACTATCGTTACAAAAAAAATAATTAATCTACGTATATTATATCGATACATTAAAATATTGTGAATTCTATGACTTAGATACAGATCGTCGTTTTATTACCTTTCTTTGTCATAATTGAATTAGTATACGTAACGAAGAAAGAATAAAATAATAGAAAGAAAAATGCATGAAAATAGACATATTACCCAATCAGACTCCCGAAATTTCTTTCCAGCAGTACGTACTGTGCTTGTAGCAGGTTTCTATGGAACACCCTTCGCGCTTCTTCGATCGTATGCTTGAGTATTCCCCTCTCTAGTATCTGACCCTATTTTCGGAGCACGCGTCCCAATCGTTTTGGTCTCTCTCCCCATGAGCGCACGTGTCGCCAACAGAATGCTGTTACACTTTGATCACTATTTCACGCTTCAATCGGTGTTTCGAGATTCGAATTATTAATTATTTCGATGGATTCGAGGAAAATGGACCAGACTAGAATATTTTTCAAAATATGGTTTTTTCGTTGAAATGAAAATTTTCCGGTCCATCTCTCGCCGAATCATATCCGATTCGAAAACTGGAATAAAGTGATGATACGTGATATTGTTTCAAGCGGCAGAAGTAAATGGATTGACGGACGATTAGTAGAGTATGTACAGAAGAAGAGGTGGAATTCGGAGGATGGAGGTACGAGGGGGTGAGTTTATCTAATTATTCAATTTATCGTAACGCACCGCGCATGCAAATCCATTGAACATACACGAATAAGAATCGAAAAAACGCGATCCGTCCGTCGCACAGCTTATCCGTAACGACTGTCGCTCCAATTGTTCCATTCGCGACGAGACGAGACGTAACAGTGAAGCGGAAACGATCGAGTACGCGTTACATTATTATTTCGATTGTTGATTTCGCTACGGTTCGTGCGCTCCCCTCTCCTTTTCCTCGATGGATTCCATCGGCGCGGCTTTTCGAAATCGAGCAGCCGTGCCGTGGCTCCTGTCAAAATTCGTCAAGCCCTGTCAAAACGTCCGTATTCCCTTCTAAACAAGGAACCCCTTCTTCTACCTCCCCCTTTCGTTTTTTTAAAGCTGTTCCATTTTTTTTTTTTTTTTTTTTTTTTTTTTTTTTTTTTTTTTTTTTTTATTTTTCTACCGTTATCCCTCTCGTCTTCTAATGCGGATTCGATTTAATAGGCAGAGGCTTGCATTACAATTTTTTGTTCGAAGACCATCAATTATTTGTTCTTTTTGTTATTTCGAAATTTAACGCTATCTATTTTACATATAAAAATATATCGAAGAGATAAAAATAAATTTCGATAAAACGAATTATTTTGATTAGTTTGCTTGTTGTAATGGAATACATAAGTCATTCGAAATTTTCGTCTCAATGTGTTACGATATCGATGATTTGAACGAGTTTAGATATAATTCCAAATTTTTCGCGATAAGTGAAAACTTTTATGAACAAATGCTGTTTGTGATATTTTTTATATGTCTCGTAACAAGTAATCTTTTTCGAGGCGACATTTTTTAAATTATACTAAAAAAAAAATTTATATAATATATGATATTTATATATTATTTGTATTTAGAAATTTAATAAATGTATTCTTTTAACAGAATATTTCACAAGTTCCACGTCATATATTTAGATAATGTACACAATTCCAAGCAGACTTTGTCATACAGATTAATATCGATATGTATTAAAACACGATATTTTCGATCTAATTTATCGCATTTTGTATGTATTATCAAAAATATATAATTTTATATTCTCAAATATAAATTAATATTTCTAAATATTAAATCATTTTGGTTTTCATTAATTAATATAATAATATTGAAAACTTTATAATATTTGAAAAAAAAAAACTATAAAATATATATAATATATTTTGATAATGCAAAATTATAATTTCATCATAAACAAAATATTGAATAAATTTACTATTTTATTTTGTTTATATTATACATACTCTAAGTTCTAATGTCTAGTATATATATAAATCCAAGAGATTTTGTGTGTGAATTATGTGCAAAAAGCAATTCACTAACAAACTAAATATCACCTACGTCATATTTGTAATGTACATAACACTGTAATTTCATTTTTGAATAATCGATAATATCTGGAATAATTCATTTAAATTTGATGAACTTTGTCTTTTCCAACGTACGCTCACGTCACCGTATTACGTAACTTGCCTCATTCTCCCTTTTTCCCGCGAGCAGATCCTTCCACCTGAAGTCATTGTCCGTGCTCTCGCGCGATAAGAGAATCGCGGTGAAACAACACGCAATCGAATGCGAATTATCATATTAATCGGCATTGTGATTCGTAATGGAGGTTATCGCCTACGGCATCTACGTTATCTATCTGATCAATCGTGAGCGTCCACGCCTCTTCGTTTATCGCTTTATTGCGTATTTACGCGCTAATCTTACGAAAATCCACCGCACGTTCTTCGGTATTCTTTCTTTCGTTCCACGCTCAGCAGAGTCGCGTTAAGGAGACTCGGTTACGCATGCGCGCAATGGAATTATTTGGTGGAAGAGCACGCGTCAATTTCTTTCCACTTGCTTTTCGACAATTTTTTTTCGTTCAAGATTAAGATATTTTGTGCACACACTCCTCGATTTCTTCAATTTCTAATTTATGAATTCCTTTTTCTTTTTAGATAAAAGATTTCTCTTTGAATTTTCTTTTACTGTATAATAATATATATTTGCATTCGATTCGAAATACGTATGTGTATATATATATATATATATATATAATATTTTTCGATTCAAACGATTTCCATAACTTCCTCATTTCCATAAGAGAGTTAATCCATGAGATAAATTTTAAACTCTATATAATGCGATCGAAAAAAACGTCATCGAAATATTCATTTCGTGCGAATACGAGTGATCGACAGTGACGTTAATTAAATTGCAAAGTATATACCGGCCGATTCGAGTTTAAGCCACTCGAGTTTTAAATTTAATAATTTGTCCGCGTTCGATATAATAAAGTATCGGTATGGAATTCGATTCGACTTTAATCGCGCAATCGGAAACATCGTGCGAGCCACGTTTAAGGCTTTAACCGCGTATACCAAGTAGACTCGCATAGTTTGCTCGCATTAAGCGAGAGCAAAGTGGCGCAGAAACGGGACAGGTTAGGTGAATGGATATGTACGAGTAGGTGAGTAGGTAGGTAGGTAGGCAGATAGCTGGGGCAACAGAGGTTGATCGTGTAGGTAGAGAGGTAACGCATGTGCGCACATTGATGCACACGTGTTTGCGCCCTCAAGATTCGATGCAACGAAAGATGACATCCTTTCTTAGATCATCCATAATTTAAACTTAAAATATGTGTCTTATTTAAGAAAGTCTTTACAACGAATATTGTATCGAAATAATACTTCCAAGACTAAGTTAAAAAAAAAATCGTTGTGTCACTACTTGAATCGATTCACGAACGAACATAACGTGTAAAAGTGTGCTAGATGCATTTTCTGTATAAACAATGTTCTAACTGTGTAACTGTCGAGCGGTGGGATCGACGACTTTGCTCCTGCTCACGTTTTGGAACAATACTAATCAAGTGATGGTATTGTGTCCGCGTAGTTTACGAGTGGCGCACATATGCTCCGCTGTTTTCCACATTGGGACATCAGATGAAGAAATTATAAATCATCGGAAGCGGGGACGTTCATTCCCAATCCTTATATTATTCCCCATAAATTTCTTTATCCATACGTAAAAGATATTTGTTATATTTACCGTTATGGATGTGCACGTGAACATAAAATAAAAATTATGAAGTAAGTATAAAATCGAATAATCGAGTTTGCGGAATGCGTTCAATTTGCTGTCGAATTGGATCCATTATAACCGATTTCTGACCGAAATGGTGAACGGTGAATCGAAATCATTCGCGCACCGCCGGATTATTATCGGCAACAATGGCATCGAGGCGTTTAATTTTTCGTTCCACCGACTTTTCCCCCACTCCTCCCAGAAATTGGCAGGATTGGGTGTCGCGGACGGCGCAATATGTCACGTGCCACGATCCCTTCGAAATGTTATAGCTTTGTCCCCGGAAGAGGGGAAAGGGGAGAAATTCGTATCTAAACCGCGTTTTTTCCCACTTTGCCAAGTTTACGAACCACGAATAACGTATAGCTTTGCCTGTTGCGATGTTATATCCTTCTTCGAAGAGAGAGATATTTTATTGGTCTTTCGTAACGTAATGAAAAGTCGAACGCTGCGAATGCATCGCTTTTTGGCACCGTTAGCGCACATTTCTCCTACCGCTCATTTGCATAAATGGAAATTTGCTCGGGTAATTGAACGAGACGCGTGCTCTCTTTGATCTTTTTTTACCGAAACGATTTAATTAATATAACACACGTTTTCAACCACGCGTCTCTCTCTCTCTCTGTCACGTGTCATTGAATAAGCAATAAGATGTTGTCGAGAACGGATCGAATTTTTTTCTTTAATCATTATCGATTAAATTCGCGAGGTATATAGAAAAATATTCGAGTGCCACGATCGTAACAATTGTTTGAAGCGTTTTTTTAAAAGGATTCTGATTGATTTGTGACTCGTAAATTTACATGCGTGTCTAAGAAAATTAAACATTCTTCGTTTAATTATCCGTATATTCGAAAATGAAATGATGAAATGAAAATTGAAATTGTTTGAGTTTACAACGCCGGATTTTATATATAAGTCAACGTGAATATTTTACGTTTAATCATTTCGATTATTATTATTATTAAAAAGAAACGAGAGAATGTTTTATCGATTTGTTTAAGCGACAAGTTGTATAAATTTCAGGATTAAATTAAAATGCGTAAATAATAAATAAATAAATGTGCTGAATGATAATTGAAGCAAAAGTCAAACGAACACGGATAAAATTGTTTTATTTTTATTGCTAATGAAATCGAAAATACGTTTCTCGATTTTTCTTTATAAAAGTAAACGCATCGGATGAAATCGAATCGATTATCGATTACTTTTATATATATATATATAT